CTGTCTGATTCAGTTGCTCGTGACCACTATGAGGAAGAGCTAAGACAAGAAGCTATGGAATGTGATGAAATGCATGACCAAACGGGTTAGATTAGACACGTAATCAACGGTGAACGCTTGTGGATCTAAACCTGAAACCCGCCTGAGACATTGAAAATCTGATAAGTCAGTTACCCTGATGGAAACAAAAAATGACAAACTCATACTGGACAGGATAAAAAAAGAGGCAGATAGCTTCTGCAAAGTCGGCTCACGAAGAGCTTCAGAGGCCGTGAAAACTGGTGGGTCAAATTAATTAGTAAAAGGGAAGTAGCCGCTGAATCAGACAATGGCTAGACTGTTTTAACTGATACGCGACACCGGAAGTAGGCGAATCCCGATTAGTGAAACAATCTACGACGAAAGTGAACAAACTATTCACAATAGGAAACGATGAATCGAGCGCTGTACCGTTCAAGTAACCCGGTGCTGACCAGGTTATTTCACCCGTTGAACAAGAAGTTCCGTGTGTAGAAACATCTGATCTTCCAACATAATTGGATTCAAGCTCTGAAGAGAGGAAAAGCAGCTGAACCTGAGCGAATTTCCTCTATTATTTTTCAAAATCGAAGAGTGGAAAACCTCGAGGACTCTGTTGGAGAGTGTATTCCACCAGACACATCGATGACAAAGAAGCTGGACTGAAATACACGTACATGTGACAGACCACATAGTCTGAAATACATGTTGCAAAAAATTGCAGGATGAAAACGACTGATGACCGTCAATGTGTAGCATATTTGACCGATGCCGTGCGAAAAAAAGATTTGCGTGGAAATTTCAAGAATCTGTTCACGATGCGGTTGCATCGTGAGCGATCCGGGGTGTATAGGTCCAATCGAAACTGAAGCAACTGCGAAACACTTGTGGGTTCATATAGGCAACAGCATTTATAATGAATTAAATTTTCCCCAAATAATAATAAACAAGCCTTAGTGAGTCTTTATAACAGTGATTTCCGTGGTTCGTTTATATTCAGCAAACGGGATGGTTCAGAATTAGCGGATATATCGATTAGGGAAGACCGTTGGGTTCGGTATTATTAGGTCAGGATATAAGGAAAAAACACGTTTTAATGAGGATATTCTATTTATTTCGTTACGGTGTCTATCTGTAGGTGATGTTTATGAAATAAATCGGAAGTTTTGTTCAAATAATTTTCCATCTACAAAATTAGTCAAACAATAGGACCATATTCATACTAATACATAGGCTGAATGCATATTTGGTAATTTAAGGGTGGGACATTTTGACTGAACGGCTGTTCAACGAAGAAGAAGAACTATATGAGCACACACTCCGAATGATGTCACCTTTCACTTTCAAGTGGGAAACGATAAATCTGAGGAGCAGATTTATTCACCTCATCAATTAGGTCCCTAACCGAATAAAGTAGGCCAAACTTTTCAATAGGAGTGGTAAAAACCGTGAGGGATGTCTTACTCCATTTCGGCGGGAGACGCGCCCAAACGGAATGTCGTGCGCAGTGTGTGTGTGACGGGGAGGGGGCAGAAGCAGACATCAGGGCGAGTGAAATTAGGGACGCGCGTGCGGAACCAAAGGATACAGGGAACCATCACTATCTATATATGATTGTCCCCATTGGGAGCAGACTCGCGGGGGCGGATTAGTCACACGGGTGGACGATCAATGAGTGTAGGTGGGGCAGAATAAGGTCAGCTGAAGAGGCAGTTGGTACCGTGGGACATGATTTAGGTTTGGGCGAGATAGAGAAAGAAATAAGGAAACAGGCAAAGAGAACATCACATCCGAAGGACCAACAACATAAGGTAAACTAGGATACAACATTGGCTTAAAACAGAGTGAGGCGTTCAATGGAATGGCGTGAGGACAACCTTTCAGAAATAGAAGCATCTGACAACAGGATGTATGTACTCTTTCCTTATTTGTTCTCAACGTGCGTTCCTCCCATTGCACATATAGAAGCACGTCGAGACTCCGCGTAATAGGTGCATTCAAGTGTCAAACAGTCGTTTGTAAATCCATGAGTTACCCATTGAATCGTTTTTACTAAATTAAATGTTCCGAATGCATTTTTACGTATCGATCTATCCCAACATCTGATCCAGTTGCATTGAATCTATGCCGTAGCAGAGCGATATTTTATGCACCAAATATAAAAAAAGTTGTTATGGATTGCAATACTTCAAAGCTAAATGAAATTGATGCAATTAGGAGTTTCGAAAAAACGGGGTGATTGATCGATATGCTTATTATAAGAGGTGGCACAATTCCTTCGATTTTTACTGATTAACATTATAATTACATTGCTACGAGAATAAATTTTGATCTAACAAATACACTATACGTTTATGTTTCATTTGTTCACTTATCTGGTGATAAAAAACTTTGCGGCAGTCCAGATCATTGCATGAGGCTGTATGTAATTCACTAGACCAATTTCCAGGGTTTGGGTCACCGAGTTTAACAACCAAGCAGTAAGTTTATCCCATTCTCCAGTTCCTGATCCGAAGGTGCGTAAGCACCTTCATTTTGTTTAGAAAATCAAAGGTTTTGTGATTCCCAAGCAGGCGCTGATTTTAGCTAATGACAGCGAGGTTTTCATGGAAATTTGTATCTCCTTGATGTATACGCTTCATACGATTTCACGTATATCGTCTCAATACAAGAGTAATACATCAAAACAGAACGGGTTACAATTAATTGCTCACCGGCTTTAAAGATTTTAATACTGGATGTTCGTGGCACTTTTTGGTGAGAAATTGTAGCTTGATAAACTCGTTTGCAACCCGATCAATTTTCTGCCCGGGGTCTTCGTGCAACCTGATTTGGAAAATAGAGAATACATAGATGTACAACATTTAGAACGACAGCTAAGTTGAAATAATTATTTTCGGAAATGTATTTGAACAAATAACACAACACTGTAAGTGAGCACGACTTAATTCCGGAATCATTTTGCTGCATCTCAGCTTACTGCAGAAACAAAACATTTTATATCACAGAGCATGACAATCTAACATGATATCCGTTCATTCTTCCGCTTACGCGGTCACCAGGGCAATGCCAGACTGTTTTAGACTTCCTTCTGCTGACACAGTAGGGGCTTTCGGCGCTTGATTGCTATCGTGTCTGCAAATCTTAGCAGCCATCCATTCAGGATTTTGTAAACAACCCGAAACAAAGCCCCGCGATCGGCTTGATGGCCAGTATGCAGCAGACGGCGAGCAATGGACGACGCAAGGGATCTGTGAGGTTGGCTTGATGGCCTAGTTGTTTCTATAGCGCTCAATCTCACCCGCTCGTGTTCGACCCATACTGGTTTGTGCTCGGCCACTCGGGCACGCAGCTGCTTCTCTGATCTGCCCATGTAGGTAGCTCCCCACCCACATTAAAATTCATAGTTACATACGATTTTGCGGACAGAGGGTGAGGTGATTTCACCAAGGGCTTCGGAATCTGGGTTGTTGTGAAGCCAATTACCGGATTTGCAGTAAAGCACGTGCGAGCTACAGTCGCCACCAGACGTCTTCTGATGAGTTGGACTACATCATCATATTTTAAAGGGAATTGAATGGTGACGTCGCATTTTGGTACTATCATCTCCGAGGGTTTGGGCTCGGCTTTTACGCTGTACAATTGTATGAACTTTGCTGGGTAGCCATTGAGCTTCGGAGCTTCCAAGAGCCGAATTAACTCGCTTTCCGCATTATCTGAAGTACACAAACTTCTAGCTCGGTCATACAGTGTACGCACCAGGCCTTTTTATACTGGATTGGAGCGAAGCTCCCAAAATGCATGTACTGACCCGTCCAGGTGGACTTTCGATGCACAGACCTCGAACTTGTCCCTTTCGGTCTTCTACTAATAACATTATACAGAAATCTGAGTGTGTTGTTTTTCCCGGTTTTCATAGTAAATTATATGACCTTATGAAGTAAATTTATTTAAGCGAACAGTTCCTTA